ACGGTCGAAAATGTCAATTTAATGTCAATGGCAAAAACAAATCGTAAAAACTTAAACTTGAAATGAGATTTTTATTATTTATTTCAAATAGCAGGCGTTTTGAATAGTTATTATTAGCCACTTAGCTGACTTCGGGCTTCAACTAGAGAGGAGGAGGAACATCATAGTGACGAAAAGTCGAGAGGCGGAACAGAATAATGATTCAAGGATGTAGAAGAGACAGACTGACACAAAGGTAAAGATAAGATGAGATGAGTACTGTGGAAGTTGTGGAATATGACATACAGTGGGGTGATGGTAGTGTGAAGTCAGAAGTCAACTGCCGTTTTATAGACTTTTTTGCCGTATGGCTATACTTTGCCATAAGTAGGTAAGTCTATCGCACACCCCCTTGAAATGAGATTTATACAGTTAATTGATGGGAATGTTCAATTTTTCCCGAAATTATATTTAAAGTAGCCAAAAAATAGTGAATTAATAGGTAGCATGATTAGACAGCTCACAGCTCCTATGCGTCTATTAAAACACCTGTGCTCACTCCTGTTGGATCAACACTTACCTACCTGGTTGGTTCATGTGTTTGGCTGCATTTTAAGATACTCTAAATTAAATGTTCACAACATAAAACTACCAATTAGAGGAACAAATTTTGAAATTGTAGAAACGCCACGGATCCTTGTGCACGTGCCACAACCATAATTCACTTTCGGTGCTCATACGTGTCCCTTAATTATCCCACTTGTAAAAGTTCTCAATATCGGACACTGACATCCCGCACATTAAGTTTGCACTTCTCTCTATACATGCATACATGTATATATATCATATCACATCAATTCACCTCAACCAATCATTCATCTTCTTCATTCTTTGTACCGCCCCACGCCACCCCCCCCCCGGGCTTCATTAATTTATTTCATTAATTTCCTGTGAACGTCTCTCTCTCTCTGTCTCTGTCTCTCGTTCCTTCCATCGTCCACTTTCGTCCGCATGTACTCAAAGCAACACCCCTGCTGATGCTGAATTCTGAACAATGAAGGAGAGGGAGAAATAAATGGTGAGAACATCTGGAATTCTGTCAATCTGATGTCGATCACGTTGGATCGACCGTAAGATTATTTCGAGTGCTAAGAATGGTAATGGCAGACGTGGGGAAAAGGAACAAATTTGGGAGGTGGGGAGGGGGAGGCAAAGAAATTGAATGTAACTTGCAAGTGAAGAAATTCGATTGATTCCACTTATTCGTTAATTTTATTCCTATACTTATTTATATCAAATGGCAGGCGTTTTGATTGTAATCATAAGCCCTTTAGCTGATTTCCGGCTTCACAGAGAGGAGGAGGAACATCAAAGTGACAAAAAGTCGAGAGGGGGACAGAATAATGATTCACAGATGTGACAGAGACAGAGAAAAGAGTAGAGAAAAGGTAAGATGAGTACGGTTTAAGTGGTCGAATTTGACATACAGTGAGGTCATGGTAGTTTGAAGTCAGAAGTCAACTCCCGGTTGATAGACTTTTTTGCCGTATGAGTATACGTTGCCCAGGGTGCACCACGTGGAGGTAAGTCCATCGCAGACCCCTACATCCTAATAGGAAAGCTGAAAAAATCTCTATCATGAATCTGGGAGACATTTCATAAAATACGAATATCAAGGGATTCCAAAGTTTTTCATACTGCCTATTTGAGTACGGTCGAATCAAACAAAGAACATAACTTATTACCTTGACCATTTCATGTGCCTTTTCTGGAGTGAAATTTTTAAAATTTATAATTAGTAACCCGACATTAAGTGATAGTGATTTTCTTTGAAACTCACTTAATTCGGAATTATTCTTTTTAACCCAAATTAGAATTCCTCGACCGAAGAATTTGAGAGCACACACAGTTAATACAAGATTGGACTTCTGAGATGAGATTTGCCAACACAATTGGGCTAATGCGTTTAGTGATCATTGAGGCTGTGGGGAAAGGCAGCTCGCCAGGCTGGTGGTGTGCAATAACACACAAAGCCACATTTCATCTCCAAATGTGAAGCGAACTCAAATATTACACAATTGTTATTTGAATACCACTCGGAGTGAATAAATCACATAGGTACTTAAGGCAACGTTACTTGCCTTCTTTGGTGTTCGCACCTCGTGTAACAATTGGTGGGGGGTGGGGGGTACAATCGAAACCGGCTTTGTATTTACTTTTCGGTAACTCTCTCACATGGTACTGACAACTGCGGTTTTATCATAAGAGTGTTAACAAAAATATTTACCTGCAAATGCGTGTTTTTTTTCATTAACATTACTCACGGTGGTGCATTAGTAACTTAAAATGTTTAATCGAACGGAAACACCTGGAATTGGTTACCGGAAAGTTTAATGATTCCGGATAGTGGGGTTCGGATTACGCGAGGTAGATCAAGGTGACGGGGAACCTTTTGTTGAGGGATTTTAGCTTTCGGTGCCAAGACGTAATTGTTGACAGCCTCTGCGCTAAGAAGTATGCATTCCTTGTGTCCTCAAGGAAATACTGAGGTGTATTTTCGATTGAAATGGCTGTCGTTTGGTTTCAGAAACGCCTCTCCCTTTTTCCTAGATCCCATCAGATGCTATTACCTCGTTTCCACTGAAGGGTTGTCTTAAAAGAGTACAAAATAGAACTCAACTCTAAAACGTGCGTAAACTTCAAAATGCAATTTATACTGCATACTTCTGATTTCTCATTAAAATTCCAATCTACCACTCTCGAGGACTTGAAATTCTTCTAACTAAGTCTTTGGTGTGATTATCTCTCGCGTCTTCTCTGGCGAGACGGAAGAAGTCGTTCCCAACACCTCACCTCCATTCTACTTGTGTGATCATCAGCTGGATGTTGCGTGTGAAGAGAGCATCCTCAGAGCTCGGCGTGGTAGCTAGGCTAACTGGAGTAGATATCATTATTTAAACTCGAGCTTGCCAATGAAACAATCTCCATCCCCGGTACGAAGTTATTTATTTATTTTTATCAAATGGGAGTCGTGCGGATAGTTATCATTAGCCTTTAGATGGCTTCGGGCTTCACAGAGAGGAGGAGGAGGAGGAGGAACATTAAAGTGACAAAAAGTCGAGATGGGAGACAAAATAATGATTCACAGAGGTAAAAGAGACAGACAGACA